CGCCTTAAGGCCCAGTGGGCCTTAAGGCTTAGCCAGTGTAATTGTTAACACAGCTTTAAATTAAAACACTCTGGTGACAGTAAACAAAGAAATTATCTGAAAATCAGAATACAATGGACCTGGTGGTCATTCACTATTATTTTGACTATTCAAACTGTCCTTTTGGAGTAAAAAACCCTACCTCCATTTGGACGTATAGAACTGTAATTTAGAGAGTATCTGCTTATCATCTGACTGCTTTGCTTCTCAAAGGACTTTGCTGCAGAGTAAAGTAAAACTCCTTGTTTTTCATGAATCCATACATTGCAGTTAGCTGCATACAGAGGTTTGTGTTTTGGCTTAGAAATAACTACCATTAACACTGGTTTTTAATATGGTGTGGAGCAGAAATGCAGAACGACTTTTCTGCTTGCTTTCCAAATTAACGCCGATTAGTCATCATCGGGGACTTCTCACCAGGCATCAATGAACATGTACATTCAGATGCTGGAAATGCTAATCTTATTGGACCAAATGAGCAATGTCATGAGACTCTGGCTTCCATAAAGGTGACAGCATGAGCCTTTTTTGGCGGGGACTTGGAGCAGCTACAGTGTACTGCCTCTTCCATGGCCATGAGTTGAGTCATTTTGTGGAGCAAGCAATGAACCCCTCACCCTCTAGGTCTCTGGCTCAGATCTAATGTATGTCTGCAAATGAATCTGAAAAGTGCTCTCATTTTATTCTTTAGAAATCTGACTCTGTGTAGAATGCAGTTGATAAAGATGAAGTCATACACATAGAACATAACAAAGGTGTGTTCTGAATATTTACCCTAAACTCTTAATCATGAAGGAATTTTTAAAAATCTGAGATCATAAAAGACAGAGAGGTGCCCATTAACTTCATAACAAAAAATAAAATAAAATCCCCCCATGAAGCCCTCCCAAGATACCTCCCAAGAACACCTTCATGACCCTGGTACTTCTTCAGGAGAAGAGCTCTATATAGGAGGAGCAAAGATTGGATTGGGTTGTTGCTCTGTGCTGCATATATGAGCTTCCCAGAGCATCTTGGTGGTTGCTGCTGGGAAAAAAATGTAAATCTGATCTAGCAGGGCAGTTCTTACATCTTACCAGAGGCCAACAGAGATACAAGCGGTAATAATCACAGCCACATTAGGCCACATGTAGTATGTTAGACCAGGTGGGGACAAACTGGTTCCCAATATTGGTATGCACTACTATAAAATTTAAAATAACTTTTAGGTAAAAGCAGGCTCCTCAAAACAGAAAGTCAACAAGGCTCCCACCCATATCGTGTATGAAATGTTCCTTTTAAAAAGGGGGACGCTCTACAGGCACGTCCTGTGAAATCTCTTTTGCTGTCCTACTTGTAGGATTCACCGCACCATTATTCAGCATTGCAGAGCTGCATTTCCGTGAATCAAATGGACAAGCCTTTTGTTTTCATTCATTTCCAAGGATACAGTACAGTAAGTAGATCAATGATCTTGTGTGAAATGGAAGGGATTTTTTTAAAAAATACGTATGCCTCTTATCTATTACAATGCATTTTCAATGGAAATCAATAGTAAATAGGCAAATATCAGTTACAGTTCACCCAACAAGTTCGTCAAACTGTTAGCAAGTTACAGCAAGCATGCCCAATCAGGCAAGCTTCAGTACCATTCTTAGCATGGATTCATCATTACAAGAGGCCCAATTCATCTACAGTTTAAATACGACAATTTCTCCGAATTTGGGGGGTGTTCTTGGTGCAACAGAGCCTTGGATGTTTCTGTTCCAGTAAGCCCAGCCCAACAAAACTATTTACTTGACTGTAGGGAAGTTACTCTGAATTGATTTCAGCACCAGAGAACTAATAACTAGTCTCTATCCAATGCTTATGGTTAGCATTTAAAAGTCCCAATATTTATCTTCATCAATACACATTCTAACCCATGTTTGGTCTTAAGTAGGTCTCTGAAAAGCTGGCATACAAATATTCTTAGTAAAATACATATGTTTGTAATATTTCAGCTCTTTCAAAAATGGTTAAGGGGTTCCACAGCTCGAGTTATCACTGATGGTCTTTTTTATGAATCGTAAGCAGCATTCCACACAATGGGAACTCAATTGAGACTATCATGAAAGTACTGCAAATTCTAAAGCAAAAAGATGTCCATTTTGGTAGATGAATGGGTGATGAAATTATGTTTGTTTGGCAGATAGACTTACAGAAGTGTCAATATCTCTGCATTAACTGGTGGCAACATTCTAGATGCTGCATTTAAGGATGCAATGAAAGTGAGCTTTTTGGGTAGAATAAATAAATAAATGCCCTAGCTTTACAGAATTATGCACAGAGATCTGCTGGAAGACTGGCCTATGAATTTGCCAAATACAAATGCCATTTCCTTTCTCAACTTAGCTACAGCAGTTTATTCCAGTTATAGAATGAAACAGCTACAGTGTATGCAGGCACACAAATATGTATACGAATACCAGTAAAGGAACTTCTTGCATAAAAGGCTGTTGCGAATAAACTTCAAAAACGCTCCAAGTGTAACAGAAACAAATATTATATTGGCAATATCATAATGTTTGCAATCACACACCAGATGTTATTTGTCCCTACAGATTTAGGAGGTTTTTAATGGCTTACAGAAGGCCTTATGTTTAAACAGAAGCTAAGCTTTCTTCTCTCCTGTAATCACTAGATACATTTCCCCCTCCCTCTTTATTTTTTTTATTTTTCAGACTACTGACGCAGTGTTTACTCTTACTCCTATCCCAAAATACTTTCACTTGACAAACAGGCAAGGAGAGTGGCCATGATATCTCCATGATAGATTATAAATTTACTGCATATTTCTGTTCTATGATAGATGATTAGATTACTAGGTTGTTGTCCTTTAAGTATTGTGTCTCACCCTCCATGCAAATAATTGACTTATATTCACCCCTCAACTGTCCTTCATCTACTACATGGAAATCTCAAAACATTATTTGGAAATGATGCTATTATTGGGGGGGGGGTTGGCTTCAAAAGTCATAGACAGCAACAGGAACAGGTAGAAGCTTCTTTCTACAGGCACTGTTGCTTCTGAAAAGATTGGAAGACAAGAGCTGAAGGTTGTTTCGGATTCTTTCTACCAAGAATATTAAAAAACACCAAAATATGTGAAGCTTAATGCCTTTGTTTTCAGTCTCTAGGGAGAAATGTAAATCTAACATCCACAGTCTAAAACTCTTATGGAAGTCAACCACACTCATCTGAACAGGATCCTTCCAAATGAGACTATATGAATGTGTCATTTAAAATATGGCAAACATAAAATGCACAAATTTCAGTCTGCAACAATATGGGGAAATGGTAATGTAGATCTACATTTTATTCCTTTGCTTTGTAGTGGCCCTCCCACAAGATAACTGTCCCTAGAATACTACTCAGACCTTTTCAAACTTTAACTGGAAACACATTCTAGTTTCTCTTCAGAAGCATTAATAACACTATAAACTTGTCAAGGAAGCAATTTTAGATATAATTCATCTTATTAACTTCCTTTTAAAAAATATTGCACATCATTCGCCAAGATGAGAGGTTTTCTTTACATGTCAGTATTACCTGTTTGCCATCCTGTCTGGAGCATACTTTTACCATATTCCCTATGAAATCTTCATTTAAAAGACAAAGAATCAAGATTACGGCACCCCAAATGCTCATAATTTCATAAGGAAAGGTTAGTGTCCTAAACTCAGCTCCAGTCAATGGCTAACTGTGTGCAGCACTGCATCCCATTCCCCCCTGTTATGAAGTATTATACATAAAAGCTTTGAAAATGTAATTTTCATAATGTGACCTCTGGCAGGGACAAATATACTTCTTCTTGGAGGCCCAAGCCTTTGATTTTTATGAATCAAAAGATTGGAAACGCTTCCAGCGCTGACCTTGACATGCTTACACAACAAAGCCAATTAATCCTCAAAATCAACAAATTGTAAAAATTCATTTATGTTAAATTAAAACAGATGGAAAGAGTAGTAATGGTATTGGCAATGTTTATAAACAGAATAATGGTATAGCCATGTGTGTGTTTGTATAATGGCATGATTCAGCATTCTTTATCAAAACACAAGATTGTGCTCTTCGAAAACACATGGAGGGTGAAGTGTTCCGGTCATGCAACTCAAATGAAGTGGAAGATTGATGAACCCTGCAGGCTGTGCAAGAAGCATCGGTTCCCAAATGCATGTCTGTTACCACCACAGAAGATTATTCATTCTCACACAGCCGGAATCTTACTTGTGAGCTATTTCCCTTTCCCGTTTGTTTAATAAGAGCGTTTAAGAGAGAAACGTAGCAGTACGTGGCATCTCATAAAGTTATGAGATAAATCAGAAACGTACACAATCTTGGCTTCTTGAAACAGGTGAAGTGAAATGTTAAACCCAACAAAAAGCAAACTTTTGTAGAAAGTTTAAAAAAACCAACACGTTTTCATAGCACGGAAATATTAGAACTAAACCTGTTGAGCTGAACAGGAATAATCCACCAGGTATAAAGAGATTCCTTCCTTAAAACTGGATTATAAATAGATGATAGGGCCATAATCCACTTTATTCACCTTAACTTTCATTTTAAAAAAAGAGAGACGGAAAATGAAATATTTAGTTTCGTGGAGTACAAGTGCAACCTCTGCAGTCGCCACTAGTTGTCGCATTCCTACCAGTTTGAGCACCTGGTATTTTCAGCACTGCGGTTACAGACACAGAGAATGCAGTGCTAATTACACCGAGTAACTCATAAAGCTGTCAGAAGTCCTTATATTCAGGATTAAACAATGAGAAACAGAAAACAATGAAAGCCTTAAAAAAAAAAAGGTATGTGGGTGTCCCAAATGATGACTTGAAAGTGTTCTCAGAAGCAGGCTTCAACCGAGGAAACATACCAGAGCTATCATCGCAATCTCAAAACACATACAGCCCCTACCTCAGTGGTTTTTAAAAACAGCCTACCTGAAGAATACTATGGTCTCCCAAAGGTAGACTCCAAGTGCATTGAGGTTACACATTTTTTCAGATCAGATGAATTTGTAGTCCACGAGTCAGGAAAAAATAAATAAATAAATTGGCACTTAAAAAAACCCCAAAAAACAGCCCGAATAAAATGGTGGCAATTTCCTCTTTCCCCCCCTTTAAATAGAATCCTTTGTAGCTAGAGGTGAGGTGGGCAAGAGGAACGAGCTGAGCTTAGGCGGGTTGAGGAATTCAGGACCCTGGACAGGAAACCACCCCCCCACGTTTCAGCACCTTGGAGAGAAAAATTGGCATTTAAACTCCGGCGCTGCTCTGCGTGGAACAGCCTCGCCTGGCATTGCGGGATGACCAGATTCCTGCCAAGAAATCTCCCTTTCTTTCAGTGGGATCCCAATGCTCGCACAGGGCTTCTGGACCACGCAGAATGCCACGAGAATATATTGGCCATGTGGGGAGACGGGAGTGGTGGGAGGCAGAGACCCAACGGCTAATCTCCTCGGGCAGCTGGGTTGTTGCCCTCCTCAGTTATATCCAAGGGAATTTGCCATCCTCCTCCGGCATTCGCCGCATTGTTCCGGCGATGTTGCTTCCCTGCTCGTCGCCTTTCTGCCGCCGCCGCCGCCGCTGCTGTTGACTCGTGCTTCCTGGGATCTTTTCCTCACGAATAAGTGATTATTGCTGCAGGGAAGGTGTCCCATCGCTCGGGGCTAAAGTGGCGAAGGAAGCTAAGGGCAAGTTTCATGGGGCTGGGGTTCCCAGGGCGATCAGAAAGAAATAACAAGCGGAAAGTCTCTCAATAGTCTCTTGATCCAGTCCATTTTCCTCCTCGTCCCATCTTCACCTCAGTAGAACTCGCCAGATCTTGAGACTTTCTTGCTGCATTAATTTACTAAACTAAAAAAAAAAAAAAGCGTCGGCGCGAGGGGGGGGGGGGGGTTTGTTAAAAAAAAAGAGAAAAAAAAAACCAACTGGAAAGCCGGCCTCTGTAGCATCCTGACTCCTCCCAGCGGCGTCTCTCATTGGCCAGTGAGACTGAAAAGCTACTCTCTGTTGTGTTTGGATCAAACGCCTGTTATTCGGCAGAGAGAGTGTTAACCTTTAAAGTGCTGGTGCTTTTTTTTCTTTCTTTCCCCTTTTGAAAGCACTGGCTTTTAAAGAAGTCTCCGAAATCCTCTCTTGTGGCATGCCACCTTTTCAGCAAACCTAACACAATCTCTGAGTCTCGATCAATGGAGTGATCAGCGGGTTTAACAGTTTGTTCTTTTGTTCTCCCCCTTCCCAGTTCTTTGATTTTCTTTTGAACAGAGTTGGGAAACATCAGAGATAACTCACCTAAGCGAGACAAGGTAAGGAGAATCTGCCGGTTTCCGATCACAGAATGAATAGCTCTACTACCGCGCTGTCTTTGGCTGGTCAGTATTACTGAAAGGAAAATATGTTGGTTTCTCCAAATCCAAAATTGGGATAGATAATTTTTTTTATTTTAAAAACTCAACTTCTCTATTTTTTTTAAAAAAAGCAACTGAGAGAAAAAGAGTGTGATATTCAGTTCTTATCGCTGTTTTACTTTTTTCTATCTGATTGATCCTTTCCAATATTTTAAACAAATGATTGCGGTGTTCCCCTTAGATCAGATATTTTAATTTAATCTTTGTCTCCCTTGACTCCATTCTCAATAGTGATACAGTCGTGGCAAGGAGGGCATTCTGCCATTGGGTTTGGCCATATTATGTTATGTGGAGTTAGGTTTCCCTAGCTATGAACAGATGAGTACTATTTTGCCCCCAACTCATTGTTTCTGCTTCTGTTTGGCTCTGAAGGGCAGCATTTGAAATTAATGTACTTTACCTGTGTGAAGTCACCCAAGTGACATTATTTATTTATTTATTTAATTTCTATCCCGCCCTCCCCGCATGCGGGCTCAGGGCAGCTTACAAGGCTTACATTAAAAGTTTTCTGATGTGTCATGAATGTGCTCTTTCATTCAGAAGGCTGTGTAGCACTGAATGTTAGCACTGACTTGCTCTTAGACCAGTTTACAATTGCTCTTAGACCAGTTTACAATTATTCGTGCTTGGTTACTTTGCAGAGACATCCTTGTATTGCTTGTTCATCCACAACTGATTAGATATCCTTCCATTCAGTAACTATCACACAACTAACTTTTTTGCATTGTACTAAGAGAGGATGTGTGAACACCTGGGATGGCAGGCAACATGTCTTGGCAGTTTGGGGGTGGGCAGCATACTGATGACAGCATAGGGGGGGGAGTCTAACAAGAGAAATAATCACATCATTGAGTCTTAATAAATGAGGCAGGCCATTCCCATTGATTGTTTACATCAGGGATGTCTTTTTAATTATTTCTGTGTGTGCATGTGCCCGTGTGCATGCCTGAAGGTCATGGCTGACTTCTGGCAACCCCTAGTGGGGCTTGGAGGCAAGCGATGTTCAGAGAGGTGGCTTGCTATTGTCATGGCCCTGGTATTCCTTGGAGGGCTCCCTTCCAAGTACTTGACAGGGCTGGCCCTGCTTAGCTTCTGAGATGTGACGAGATCAGGCTTGCCTGGGCTATAGGGCCATCAGAGATGTCCTGATTATGCAGCTCAACCGCACTTACTCAGGACTAAGTGCCATTGATTTCACCAGGACTTACTCCCAAGTAAGTGAGCCTGGGACTGCAGTCTTAGATAGTTCCACTAGTGGCCATGTTCTCTATTTCTTAAAAAAAAAGAGATTAACGTGCTTTCAGCGTTTAGTTATCACAGACACTATCAACAGACATTGATTTCAGTGAGAGATACAGCACATACCTAACTCTCACACCGAGTTTAAAAAGTGCTTACCATAGCCTGGATTGTATCCAATGCTCCCTCTAAGCTGTGGAGTCTTGTGAGCAAAAATTCTACTTTGTGAGCTACTGACATTAAAGTTGTGAGCGAGCAATTTGGCTACTTCAGAAATTAGTTTCCTCTGGAGCCATCCTTCCTGAGCTAAGAAAAAAAATGTGTGAGCCGGAGGCTAAAAAACTGTGAGCTAGCTCACACTAACTCAGCTTAGAGGGAACACTGTATCTATAGTGTTTTAATGTATGGGTTTCATTTGTTTGTTTTATATTGGATGGTGTATTTCTTTTGTTACTGCCTTTTAGTCAGATGAGGTAGAATGTAGGTGTTTTTATAAGTAAATGGATCACTAAAGAGACAAGAGGCTTATTTAAACTGTTATCCCAGCAGTAGAACATACATTGCTACTCCCCCCTTCCAGGCATTCTGTATCAAAGGACCCCAAAGGAATTGACTGGCGATGAGACACTTAGCCCTCTTCTCCGCCTTCCCTCAAATGTCTCATGCTTGCCACAGCTGTGCTTGCCCTGAGTACCCTGGTGTTTTTCCTATTGAACAAATGGAATATAAAGACATGCTTCCTGAAAAATACAAAGTGAAATGAGGTATAACTGCTTAGGATCCCTGATGCATTTAATTTTTTTTAAAGGCTGTGTGCAAAATATTTCCGTATAAAGTGTAAAGAAGTAAAGCCAGCGGGTGCTAGTGTTAGAGCACTGGATTAGTATCCGACACAGATTCAAATCCCCATTCTGCCACAGAAGCTTGCTGTGTGACCTTGGGCCAATCACACTCAGGTTAACCTACCTTACCAGGTTGTTGTTAGGATGAAATGGAGGAGAGGAGAATAACGTACGCCTATATGGGTCCTCATTGGGGAGAAAGGTGGAGTTATAAATGTGGTAAATAAAGAAATTATACATTTGAGAACTTTGCATGTGTGGGGAGAAGTATATTGTATACTTAAAGTATATTAAAGTTTATCTCTGGTAAACTTTCCTTCTTCTGCTCATTGTTTCCATTAATGTAGTAGCTAGCTTGCTGCTGTTGCATGTCACCCTAACTATATGCACTTTGACAAATAAATACATGTTCATTGTCCCTGTAAAGCAATGGTGAGATGCACCAGATGGACTCTCTAGATGGAGCAGTCCATAGCTATGAAGGTAAAATAGAGGAAAATAAATCTTAATACATCCCCCCCTGTGGGCTTCTGATCTTGGAACAGGGAACGTGCAGAATCCAAGCCACAGATTACGAAGTGTGTGTGTGGGGATCATAAGGAAGGAAAAGAATATTTACTTTGCTGAGGTCCCTTTAGTCCACTATTTTGTTTTCAGGTGCAACCAATCAGAGTTCTAGGTGTAATACTATGTAACCTTAAGAACAGCTGCTTCTCCTGGACCTTTCAGCTGCTTTCGATACCATTAACCCTGGTATCCTTCTGGATAGGCTAGCTGGGTGGGGATTGGAGGATACCTTGCTTTGGAGTTTCCTCTTTTACTTTGCTGACTGATTACAGAAGGAAGACCTGAAGGGCTTCTGCTTGGCCCCATGACACCAGGCCAAAATGTTTCATTTTATCCAGGGTTTTAACTCAGGGATTCCCTCTTTTTCAGCAGTCTTTATGACTTGCTTCAAGCCTGAGGGCTGATGCATGAATATCATTTTTTGTGTGTATAAAGTGCTGTCAAGTTGCAGATGACTTCTGGGGACCCCAGCAAGGGTCTTTAAAGCAAGTGAGAAGCAGAGGTGATTTGCCATTGCCTCCATCTACAGAGTCTTCCTTGGTGGTCGCCCTTCCAAGTACTGACCCTACTTGGATTCTGAGATTTGACAAAATTGGCTTATGCCATGCTGTCTTCTGTCTGAATATAATTTTAGGCTGCTTGTTTAAAAGGTTGTTTCATGCCATTTTTATGCCATGAAATGTTTTCTGGATTGCTTTTATTGCTGTTGATTTTACGATTTTTTTACTGTTTTGCCTTGTGACCCAAGAAGGTGATGGCAAGCTACACTGTAGCCTTAATATCTAGTATCACTGCTTTCTACATGGGGAGTCATGCCATTATGGCTAAACTTTGATTATATTGAACTTGTAGCTGTGAAGCTTTGCCATGCATGTGTCAGGGAGGGTAAAGAGAGACAACTTTGCAGACAACACACACATCAAAGGAGAAGCAGCAAAA